ATATTTGAGATACTATTTACGAATTATACATAAAAAATCTATTGTTAGTAGACCAACATTTCTAAATCAAATACAATTAGAAAATATTTAATGTTAGAATATTTCCAAATTTACAATTTACGTTGAAAACCATACAAATTGAAACAAACAATTGGAATATTTAATTTTTCTTTCCAAAAAAGAAATAAAATACACGCGAGTTACATAAAAAATCAAGTAAATTAATCTATGGTGCACGAATCACAGACGTAATGTTAGAATATTTAATTTTAAAAAATATTTGAAATTATATTTGAGATACTATTTATGAATTATACATTTAGAGAATATTTAATGTTAGAATATTTCCAAATTTACAATTTACGTTGAAAACCAAACAAATTGAAACACACAATTGGAATATTTAATTTTTCTTTTCAAAAAAGAAATAAAAATACACGAGTTACATAAAAAATCAAGTAAATTAATCTATGGTGCATGAATCATATACGTAATATGAGAATATTTAATTTTAAAAAATATTTAAGATTATATTTGAGATACTATTTATGAATTATACATAAAAAATCAATTGTTAGTAGACCAACATTTTTGAAATCAAATACAATTAGAAAATATTTAATGTTAGAATATTTCCAAATTTACAATTTACGTTGGAAACCAAACAAATTGAAACACACAATTGGAATATTTAATTTTTCTTTCCAAAAAAGAAATAAAAATACACGCGAGTTACATAAAAAATCAACGTATAATAGATTCTAATTCTTTCTTATTGCTTTTTAAATTCTAAACATGAACGTAAAAACGTGTTATAAATTTGAAATTTGCCTTTTTGGGGAATTGTTTTTTTATTCTTTTCTTTTTTTCTTTTTTTTTTTAAAATGCATCATCAATTTTGCAATCATACGACGAAGGTATCTAACCAAACAACCGAATAGAAAACGTTTTCTCTATCTCCTTGACACAAATTTCGAATATAATGTTAATTCATGCGCATCTTACGAGTTTAATAAATAATTATTCGTTTAAAATAATAATCGTGTGTTGTACGATTTCATCCGTATCAACGAATCCAGCTACCGTATCTCAAACAAAAGAGAGAAAAAAACAAAACAGAAAAAAAAAAAAGAAAGATTTATTTTATCGTATTTTAATTACTACTTATATTTATCTTTTTATCTATAAGATCTGTGAAATTTACAATAAATCATGATGATTCGTATACTTGTTCGTTCGTTCTTTCGTTATTAGCATATTATACAGTGTTGTGTGTTGCAATAGTAATACTATCCATTTTTAAATGAAAGAGAAAGGTATACGGTGTAACATTAACTACGAAACGTTGATTATTATTATTTATCGTAAAATAATATCACTCGGTTTTATATATATATATATATATATATGAATATTTAAATAA